AGGGGGGGGGGGGGGGGGGGGGGGGCCTGGGGCTAAGAGGAACTGAGCTTTCTGTAGGAGATGGAAGGCAGAAGGCAGAACCCTTGAAAAGATTCTGCATCATGTCCCAAGCTCTGAATATCCTTGCTGTTATCTCAAATGTATTGCCCACAAATTCCGGAGCAGAACACACAAATTAATTATTAAAATAATTAACTGTAAAGTTTGATGTAGCTAGGGCTAAACCCTCTCTGTCTTGAAGTTAAAAGTATATAGCTCTAATTTGCTAAAAATCACAATTCAATGAAAATAGTCTTACTATCTGCTCTCCTGGAAACTAAAAGGCAAAACAGACCACTGGTAATTACAAATGTGTATTTTTCCCTGATCTCGCAAATGTAGAGAAGACTTGGCTGCACTTGAGAGTTCCACCTATATTTCAAAAATTGAAAGATGTTGTCTGGCTCTGACTTGCACATACCACTGAATAATTTCTGCAATCTGAGCTTCCCAGTGGGCAACCGACTCTTTCTTCGCTGCTAGGTCTTGGAGCTCATCTTCTAGCTGCCTGTTTTGTGCTGTTAATTTATCCACAAAGGAACAAAGCTGAAATGAAAAATGAGCAGTTTCCACCTGAAATGTGTCATTTTCAGACTCATTTTGTTTTTGCAAATTCCATATACATAAACACTTTGGGCTATTAAAAGGTTCTGCCACATCACCCAAACGTTTGGAAAACACTGTCAGATTCTACAAGTGCAACATCTAGGTACTGCATGTTCAGTTGCCATTTCTGATTAGGGAACTGAACAGGTGAAAAGAACAGAGAGAGACAAGGAAAGCATCAACGACATTGCGTGTGATGCATATTTAATCTTTGGCAGCTAAGAAAATGGGAGGCTGTTGGGGGTCACTCCTGCCTCCGCCTTTCTTTCCCCTCTATTTTTTTTCCTGAGGGTCAGATGGAGAAGCAGGTAGCCCCAGTGAACTATTTTATACATAGTATTCCTCAATTTAGCATTGGGGGGCCCAACTCCTCATGTGGAAAAAATAAAGAAAAAGCTGATTTGCCCAGTTCAACTGTCATGGATCTGACCAGAATGACTCCTATTCAGGCAAACAAAAAAGGCTCCCTTTTAAAGAACACTTATGGTTTTTCTATGCTCAGTGAGCACTAGGGAGAATTATCACAACAGAAGAATGAATCAGAAGCAAATGAAATGCAAGGAAAGAACAGAATACTAGTTTTCAGGAAGAATACCCATACTTGGCTTCAAATAATGCCTATACTAATGGAATTACCCTTTCATTTTCAGTTGTCAGCTTTTTGTTATCTTCTAAGAGCATGCCTCTTTCCCGGTCATATTTCTCTTTTATTGTTCCTACAGCCTCCTCCATCTCACTGTGCCTGAGGAAAAGGAAAAAAAGAGCAAGAATTTACAACCTGATGGATCACTGGGAGTACTGAGGCAGGAATTTCAAGGGTGTGGAAGGGAGAGTTAAGTGTCCCACACCTCACTGACTACCTATGAAATGCAAAAAATACCACACAACTTTCCTAAGCCAACTGGCTGAATTCAGATCCTCACCTCTCTCGCTTTGCTTTCTCCAATTTATCTTTTAACATCATGATCTCTTTCTGAAGAGCTAGCTGATGGCTCTCTGAATCATGCACTTCCTTTTTCACGTTTTTTACTTCTAAGACATGAGATGCCTCTCTCCTGACTAGCTCCTCTTCATAAAATAAGATTTTCTTCTCAAGCTCCGACTTCATTTTAGAAAGCTCTTGTTGGTGTTCTAATGTGGCTCCTGCTGCCCGGCCTCCTTGCTTCACCTGCAAAAACAAAAGAGCATAAATTATCAGGAAAAATATGACAAGATTCTTTTAGCGTTGAAAGAATAGTTATGATTTAAGGCAAACAGACAATAGGCAAGAGATTAATAGCCATAACAACACTGTTTAGGGGAAAATAGTTTGATAAAAGTGAGTAGATTTAAGATTAGTAAATTTTATACAAATACTCTCCTCAGAGGAAGGACATGCAAATGTGCCACAAATGTTTATGGCTGGATAACCAAATTTATCACAAGTCTTGCATTATAAAAATAATGTAACCTTTAATGTTTCAAGCTCATTTTCCAGCTGCTTGGAGAAGAGCTCACTGTGCTCACGGAGCTTGCGTTCTTTTGATGCTTCTGCTACAACTTCTTCAAGTTGAGCTTCCAGCTAGGAATAAACAAAATATATGTCAGAAGTTGCTTTAAAGGCAAGCTAGACATAGCTATATCATTTCTTCTCCTCTCTTCTAAGACAGTTTTTGGGTCTTTGGAACCATCATTCATCCTTACTACCTTGAGTAAGGTATTGAGTGATGAATTTGCAAACACCAACACATATTATGAAGGCCTAGAGGAAAGCATCATGGATGAAAAAGTGGCAACATGTGGACACATTCTACATGCATAGGGCAAAAGAGAGAGCAGTCAACAACAATAGCAAGGCCCTTTGTGACTAATCTGCTCCTACTTCTCTTTTGTTAATGAGAGGTTGAGCACTGCCTCAGCTTGGCCCAGGATGCCAGTACCCACTGCACCTTTGTTAAATTTTCAAACAAGCATTGCCATACTTTTTGCAAGACTGCCACCCTCACTATGAAGAGAGTGACCAATAGTGTTTCAGCTGTTTCCTTGTATGGCCCCTCCTTTTCTGTAATCTCTCCTTGGGACTTTCTCCATTTCTTTCATTTTATTCTCCATTTGTACATATCCTGGTACAATGGGCTCCTAACCCATGATTATGGATTCCAGACACTACTTCAATAACCAATGAATAAAATGATAGCGATGTAGTATCAAAGGATAAAAATACAGCATTTCTTTAACCTACAGCCACTATAAATAGCTTAAAAATGACTAGCTAAAAAGGATAAGAAAAATAAACTCTGGTTTGCTTGCTTGTTTGTTGCCTGTCCAAACCACCTCTCCCGACAGCAACAGAAAGAAGAAAGCATTTACAGGGAAGGAAATTAGCAGGGGTAGTGAAAGCCCAACCTGCTCTCGCCTTTGATATATATTAGGATTTCAGTGCGATTGTATCTCTACATCTAAATTAACAAAACAGTTGATCAATTGAGTGTATAGCAAGAATATTTTTTTTACTGGATTACAAGTAATTAGAACTTCTAAAAAGAGAAGATAATCTCACTCCTTGATAAATTCCTAACATTTAGAGATGTGCTTAACATCTATTATGCAAACTGAAATATGATAATGGGCAAGAGGTGCCAGCCCAATTTATACAGCTTCACACAGATCCAGATTATAGTTAATGCTCCTGGCTTTTCTATTTTATTAATAAACATGATGCAACTTGAGAGTAAGCAGTGGCTGAAACATGCTATTAACTATTTTGCCAAACTACCTCTTTTCTGGCTTTCTCAGATTTACGAATTTCCTGTCGCATAGAATCAATTTTCTGCATGATCACTTCCACCTCTTCCTCTTTATCACGAAGCTGTCGGGAGACCTTCTGTTTCTGAGAGCGCAAGTCTACCATCCTTTCATTGAGCTCTGAGAACTCCTGCATGGCTAGCTTTCTTTGCTGATGAGCATCCTTCAACTCTTTTGATTGTGCCTTTAATCTTTCTGAAGCTTCCACAAGTTGCTGGTAAAAGGAGGAGGAAAAAAGTATTAAAAACTGGATTTTGCCTCTCCAAAGAAAAAGAGAACAGGATAAACTGACTTAAAAGTTCAACCACCTTATGAAACTTCCAAATAGCAGGTATACAAACTGCTGCTCCTAGTTGCAGTCAGATTTCAATGAAAAGAAACTAAAGAAAACCAAATCTCAGAATTAAACACGATACTGTTTTACATATAGCAATCCTCTGGGCTCAGCTTACTTATCCCCTCTCATACAATATAAATACATAAATTCAGGAAAAAAAAATCATATGCAACTTGGCTAATTTGAACTATACACTTCTGCCAAGTTTACTGAATTACAGTGCACTCACTAACCTACAAAGCAGATACTGAAGTCAAGAGTAGCAAAGCTGCTTAAGTCTGCTACTCACATCCTTCAGCAATAAGCTTTAACAATGGTTCAGAGAGAACATGTTTAATAGAAACTACCTGTGAGGCCAAAAACTCATTTTATACAGTAGAAACTTTAGGCATGCTGGCCTGTAGATCATTTCTGCTGAACAAATACGGCTACAAAACCTAGACGATGCTCAATATTAGTCATCTGACAACATATTGATTTTTGTCATGTCTGTGAAAATACAAAGTCACTTCAGTAAATTTTGTGAAGTGCTTAAGTTTAAGATAATAAAAGTTTGACTCGTCATGGGTTAAGTATAAATATTTTAAATTAAGACATTCAGCTTTAGAAAATTTGGAAGTTTTCAATTATAGGGATATAATATACTTAATATTGTATATTAAGTCTACTCAACTATTTAAAACAATTTAAGAATGCTTATTCTTTTGTTCCTTTATCAAAAAAGGGAAATTTGTTACAAAAAATAAGGAGGTTCAGTGATGAATGGTTATTAAGCTCAGTTAATTGGATTAAATGCTTTGTATATATGTTTTATTATGTCTGGAATTCACTTACCAGTCACAGATTTGTAAAACAGTGAAACTTGATCTGCTTTAGGAAGTGTTCTCCACCCCTCCCCCCCAAATAATTTCCATATTTCTGGAAAAGTAGTCTGCTTTAGCTTTGTAATTACACTATCCATTGGCCAGGGCAGTCTGGTCTCTCATTACATGGGTTTCTAACTTACTGGCATCAAAAGATGCTATGAATGCACCAAAAAAGGAAGAATGGACTAATGTGTTTAATACTAACAAAGAGCAGAAGTTTTTCTTAATTACCTGAATGCCAACCAATGGACAATACAGAATACTCATCTCCTTGGAGCTAGTATCCACCCTGCCACTCTATTTATCAGATGAATGGATGCATTAATGTACCAACATATTGAAGAGAAGGAAGAAAGTAGTAGTTTCAAACATTACTGTCATGCTCTTTTCTAGACAGTTCCATTCTTGAGTCATTTTAAGTAACCAGGGGGAAAGGTATACACTTAGGACCATTACCTTATGAAGGTCCTCCTTCTCCTGTTTTTGTATTCTGCACTGCTTTTCAAGTCCTTTTACTCTGTGTATGGAGTCTTCATGTTCTTGGCGAAGTACCACTGCATCTGCAAGGTGTCGTTCTAACTTACTGGAATCTGTACAGAAATTCAAACTAAGTTTGATTGCTCCCAAATTTGCACCAACAGCATGTGTAGCAATGCTGCTTGATCATCCCATTGTAAACCTTTTAACCATAGCACCTGAGCAGCACAAGTTTGAATACATAAGCCCTCCAATGCAAGATGGAGGCTTATTTCAGCAAGAGTGAGAAAATTATTTTACTTAACTTTTTTTGTCTAACTATATTTGGTCAGAGCTGAAATGTTTCATGGCAGCTTTGAAGTTGGGGGCCCAAAGGAGTTCTCATCACATCCTGGCTGTGATGGTACTAGCCTGAGACATGGAAAATGTAGGTTCAAGTCCCAGCCTGTCTGATTCAGGGGGCTCAAAGTGATCTGGGATTGAAAGACTCTAATCTACAACACAGAACAGGAATTTCACCTCTATTTTCCATAGGTCAGGCCACTGCCTTCGTCATCCACATTCTAATGTTTGCATGTACTTTCAAATAAAAAAAAAGTAAAAATCAAACTTCAAACTAAGTTTGAATCATCATTTCAATCCAATTCCTTTTTTTGTGGGTTTGTGCCACACCCACTAGACCATCATTCCCTTCAATACATTATTTAGGTAGGCCATTAGCAGGCAGAATTAATTTTTGGGGCACTGTCTGGGGAATCTGTCCTCTTACATATTCCTTCATATTAAAACTTGTTATCTGTCTTTATAATGTATCTGGTATTTGCTGTAAGCTACGTTAAACCTCTTTGGGGGAGAGCTGCACAAAAATTCCGCTGAGTAAAAGACCCTCATACTTCACAGCCATGTACACGCAGGGTACCATGCTCCAACTACGAGAGCAAAGCAAGTTCTGAAAGAACAACATTTAGAGATGGTCACGGATATTTTACTTCAATGTTGTGGAACAAGAGAAAGGCTTAGTTCTGACTATGATAAGGACATCTCCATGAATTATTTGCTTTGTATGAAGGAAAGTCAAGAGGATAGAAAATTTATGCTAATTGATTGTGTGCTAAATTAACAAGGACACAAATCCCCAGTGCCTGAAGGAGGGAAAAAAAGAAAGAGAGTTGAGGCTTGCGCAAAGAGGATGATGACAGGTTGATGTCTGTTGTTATTTGCAAGCGATACACAAAAACAAATGTGCACCTGTGGCTTCCTTTCACCTAAAAGTAAAAGCTAGTGTGTGAAGCTCTGCAAAATAAAGTGTTATTAATACTACAAGGCAGAAAGTTTACCTACTACTTAGTGAAAAGCTGCTCATACCCTCTTAGGGTTTTTAAAATCTGATTTCATGTTTTCTGGAAGGTGTTTACATGTACAAATGCAAACATGGTGGTCAAACTGCAGTCTTAATTTTCAGGCAAGACTGGAATAATTGCATTCCTTTCTTTGACACAGCTCAAGGAAATTGTAGGGAGTTACTTCACATTTATGATGAAGTATCAAATCAATTATTTTCAGTGTTTTCCTCAGCTGTAACTAAGGCCAGAAAAAAAACAAGTACTAAGAGAAGCAAGATCAAGAGAAAAGGATATCTTAGGGCTTTTATGAAAAGGATATATTCAAAAAATATCCTATTGAATGTATTTAGCCAATTTTTGTATTCTTGACTCCCTGGTGGAATATCTACCATCAGGCTAAGGAAGTTAAGGGGAAAGATAAGCATTTATTCAAGACACTAAAATATTGCTTAGTGGTAAGCAAGCCATAAAATATTTTTTCTTCGCCTTTGTGTTCATGAAGACTTTTTTTCTACTTACTCTGAATAAAATGCATATTGATAAACCCAGCATTCTGGCTACTAAGACTAATTACTTGTATGATTCAAGCCAGAACATTTGGCCTGGCTGGCAAGTACTTACCTGCTATTTTGTTCTTCAAGCGCTCGATTTCTTCATTTAACTTTTTGATTTCTTTATCACAGTTTGCATGTACTGTAACACGAGCTGGAGTATGAAGGGACTGCACAGTTTGTGTAGATTCTTAAGTTGAGGAAGAAAAAAAACCCATCAGGCAAACTACATGCATTCTGCTGCTTCCTCATAACTTGAACCATACATCCCAGGTACTTTACGTAACCAACCTTGCAGTTTTCTGTTCAAATCCTGTTTCTCTTGCTCCAGTTTTCGTATCCTCTTTTCATAAGCTTCTATTTGCGAGCTGTTCTCCAAGTCGCGTTGCACATCTTTATCTTTGGTCACTGCATTGGACTGCATTACACTTCTTAATGAGCCTCTGTCAGATAAACAGCTGCAAACAAAACACAAGTTATTTTCAGTGAGTACTTGCAACAACCTGTAGCAGTTCCTTGTATTTTTTGTTGAATTCTGCATCTGAAATGACTAAGCAATGCTTATTATCTCAGCGTAACTACCAAGGTTATGAAAAAGTATACAAGTCACCTTACATTTGGGAACCTGCATCATGTTGAAAAGAGCCTAATTCAAATTGTTTAAGTGATCTAGCTGCTTTTGAAAAGTTAACCCAATTGCAGCTTATCAATCTTAGCACTAAAATCCTTCAAAATATCTACTGCTAAGATGCAACAAACAAGAAATGCCAACAAGCTTGTGGCTGTTCAGAAAAACTCCATTAGGACAGAATTACTACCCATTTACAACTGTACATCAAGAGCTACTATACAGATTTTAATATGATCAGAACAAGCTATGTAAAACAGAAGCTTGAAGTGATCTAAATACTTTCCACTCATCCGCAAATATGCCTTTGATTTTCTTTAATGAAAATAAAGCTATTAACTGCAAAATAATATTAGTGTTCCTCTTCTTTAGCTTCACACTTTTAAAAGAGCTATCAAGCCAAAAATGCCCCATAAAGTGTTTTCCATGTTCATTTGAAACTGAATTGGATTTTACCAAGCAATAAATTAATCTGCTGGCTAACATGTATGGGCAGTAAGTTGTGTTTTTTTTAAAAAAAAAATAGTGAAATAAGCTATTATCAATGTGACAGTACCTATAAAAATATTATTTCATTTGTTTCTCAGAATGCACTATATTCTTGTATTCTTTTGCCATCTATTGCTACATATATTCGTACAATTATACAAGTACCCCAAAACGAAAAATGTGCCACTGTCTTACAGTTTATTTCAAGTACATGGAAAGAAACTAAATGTTAGCACTTAATACCTGTAACTTTAAAAAACGCAAAAGTTTAAATGTACTTTAAGAACAGCTATTTATCCACAGCCAGGTGGCTTTTAGAGTGCATGTGAAACAATAAACTTTGAGTTAGCCCCACTGCAGCCATGCATTTAACAAAGAACTTCCTTCTGCCTACCTGTCAGTTGTGTATGTAAACCCCACAAAGGGTAAATGTAATCCAGAGAACCCAGTATGAGAAGTTGGTGGCACCACTTCCTGCATAAAAAAGAACATATTTGAAAACGAAGAAAACAACAGACAAATGCTTTTGTTTGTGCCTTCATGGTCAGAGTAAGGATGGTCTGCGGAGTTTGTCTACCGATGCTTTCAGAAGAGTTAGAGTGCAATAATTCCTTGATTAATCTCCTGAGAACAATGTAACAAATATATAAGAAAGCCTCTTGTTATCCAAAACTTAATTTAGAAGAAACAATTAGTTTTGATGCATCTAAAATGTAATGCATTAGTAGGTTTTTTTTGATTTTTAAAGCCCACCATTATAATTAAAAGTAATGGGACACTAAACCAAATGACTGTAATAGTGCTTCCATCCTAGGTGTTGTAACAGGCAATCAATTAAAGCACAAATCCAGAACTCTCAGTTTAATCACTGCATACTTTGCCAAGACACAATCAGGAACATGCCATGTACCTTCCCTCTGCTCTTCCTAAGAAATTCATTCTTAGAAGCTAATAGGAGCCTGAAAATGTGGGAAGAAAGGAATTCCTATGCGGAGTTCCTCAGAACTTAAGATGAAAGGACCATTGCAACATGCTTTCAGGAGATATGGATGCTGTGACTACAGCTGCATAGAGGACAGGAATTGTTTTGTGAAAGGTTCTGATGTTTAGATTTGATCCAAATTTACAGGCAAACCAAAAAGTATGGAAATTTTCATGCAGGAAAAATTCTAAAAAATTGTTTGTTCTTCCGGTAGAAAAATTTACACGGAGATGCCTGAACAGGCATTCAGATGCTGAGCACCTGAAGAGCAGAGAGCCTGCCAGTGCCAGGGGGCCTCTGTGCATACACCTCAGTGTGCCCTGCAGACTTCCTCAGTCTGCCTCTAGACAGAATGGCAGCAGTGCACAGGGCAGCCCTAACTGGCTGGTTCCAACTGCTCAGAGTCAGCCTGTATTCTCCCTGCAGCACAATGTGGATTTGTGAAGGGGGCATGTTCTCTTCCCTACTCAGCTGGAGCAGCAGAGTCCAGTGAACAACACAATATCTTCTTGGGGCGGGGGCGGGGGCGGGGGCGGGCCAGGAAGGGGAGGGAAAAGGATGAGAGGGAGCAAAGCACTCCAGGAGCAGTGTGTCGTGGCTTCTCTCAGATGAGAACATGTACAGACAGACATTTTAT